CCAAGGGCCTGTTTGATGCCACGAGATGACTTATTATTGCGCTTGGGGCGTAAGGGGCCCCTTCCGGAGTCTGCACACCCCCAGTGAGCGCCGTCGACGTTAAATAAATGGAGTGGGCTGCACGCCGCAGCGGGGTACTGGAGGTACCGGTTTATGTGTTACATTGCATATTTAATTGTCATTTATTCTTCATCTGTTGTAGTGTTTATTATAATTGTATTCACTGTTTATTGTATTTTTAGCTTTACTTTGTGTTTATTTAGGATTCCTTATCCTCAGACTTTATTTATATTTATTACTTTCTGGTTGGAAGTACTCACAATACTCCCTGCACCTTGTGTGCAGATTCAGGTACACCACAGGGTGAGTGAGGACTTGTTTTAGCTGAGCAGCATTATCCGGGAGTATCGAGGTAGCTGCATGGCGTTCACAGCCTTGATCTCTCCCATCTATCTTTATCATTTTATTCGTATTTTTCCTAGTCGGACTTGTAATAGGTGAATAATCTGTTTTAGAGGCTCATGTTCGTGACACCAGATTCTATGGGCTGATTAGTACTTTTAGTATTTTATTTTGGGGTTTTCGAACGTTAGAGATTATTTCAGAAATTCCGCATTAAATTGGTATTTTAGTAGTGAATATTTATTTATCTATTGACATTAATTGGTTAAGGTTGTGTAAATGATCGGGCTTGCCTAGCAATGTGTTGGGCGCCATCACGATCGGGGTTTGGGTCGTGACAGAATTGTACTTTCCAAGCATGTCGAAAGTGTCTAAGAAATTGTTAACTGACTATTTCTTAAAAAAAGATGCGGAAATCTGATGAGGATGCATTAAAGATTGCAGTATTGTATTTCATTCACAGTTTCCTGTTTTCTATTACGAATGATGATTTGATAACAAAGAATGATTTTCTGTTGGTTGAATCTGGTGATTTTGAGACTTTCCCTTGGGGAAAAGCGGTTTTTAATGCTACGTTGGAGTCAATGAAGGATAAGGTTCGTAGCAGGAGAGAGATGTACCGATATGGTGGTTTGCCTTTGGCATTCTAGTGTTGGTTTTATGAATGCTGTCCCTATACTCGCAAAAACCTCGCTTACCGGATTGGAGATCTTGTGCCACGCATACTTAACTGGAAAGTAAAGAAGAAGGTGACGTTTAAGAGGTTGAGGAAAGAGTTTTTTCTTTTAAGTCAGGAGCGGGTAAAAAATATACATTTCTGATACATAAATTATACATTTCTGATACATGAATTATGCATTTCTGATACATGAATTATGCATTCTGATACATTTCTGATACATTTATGATACATTCTTATACATTTCTGATACATTTTTGATACATTTCTGATACATGAATTATGCATTCTGATACATTTCTGATACATTTTTGATACATTTTTGATACATTTCTGATACATGAATTATGCATTCGATATACTTCTGATACATTAATTATGCATTTCTGATACATTTCTGATACATAAGTTGTCTTTTTAAAAAAAAAAATTATGATTGCTAACTTTTATTTATTTATTTATTTATTTGTAATTGGTGTTTGGTAACATTTTCCCAACAAATGATGAACAAACAAGGCTCAATTGCATGACTTTGTCCCGGTTTGTGAAGATAAAAATGAGATTCATATTGAATCTGGAGTCGTGGCTGAAGTTAAAACAAATGCTAAGAAGCACTCCAAAAATAAGCCGGAATCACAATCTATCAACAATGAGAATTCGGATCCACAGCCCAGTAACTTGAATTCAAGCGAGACAGAGCTGAAACTTCTGAGAAGTGAAATCAAGAAGGTACAATGCTATTTTGTCTTTGAGCAGTTCTGATAACTTAATTGATATTCGGATTCACTTTTCCTTTTATAGGTAAACGACAAGGTTTCATCTTTGGAGCACTTAATGATTTCCTCATTTGAAAAGGTTTTTAAATCTCTAGGTGAACGCGATGCTTCAAAGGTATTCTCATGACTATGCTTAGTTGTTATTCTTACCTTTTACTATAATTTTACAACTTTTTGTATATTTTTTTCTGAACAGGGTAATCGAAAAGATGACGACCATCATGATAAGGAAGTTTCAGAGAATAACTTTGGTAGTGAGAAAATTATGGAGAAAAATATTAGCATTGAAGAAGTTGTAAAGAAAAATATTGACAATGAGGTAAGTCTAGAGCAAATTGTTGATGTTATGGAGAGTGTGGTGAAGGATTCTATACAAGATGGTAAAAGTAGTGAAGGAGTTGGTGATGGTGAAGCCTAGATTGAGGATGTCGAGCCTGAAATCACTGCAATCATCCTGCAGTTTTGTGACAAAAATACTGCTAATATGGGGAGTTTGGTGGATGATTATGTACAACTTGGTAAAAATAGTTATGAGGAAGTTGGTGAGGACAATAGCTGGAGTAGTGATGCTGAGGCTCAAATAACTGCAATCACCCAAAAGTATTTCAATAAAAATATTGAACATGGTGATTGATTAGGAGTGGAGAAAAATATTGCTACTATGTAGGAAGATCGTATAGTTATTGATCATGACACACCTGAAATGAACCCTAGAGAAAGGAAACCAGCAGGGGTCATGAAGTCACCATTCATGAACACATTTGACTCTGGTGGCACCATCCAAGTTGTTGAAAATAAGCCAACTAAGTCAAAGAAGCCCATCTTGACTATTAAGTATCCTTTTCAGGGAAATATTGACAATCCTGGTGATTTCAAAGTATTGTGTAAGTGGAACATTTTCATCAATAAAGGCTTAAGGACTAATGCCGCGTAAGTTTTGTGTTTCAGTTTTTTCTTTTTTCTTTTTTCTTTTTTCTTTTTTTTCTTGTTTTTTTTTCGTGTTATGGACCATATCTTTTTATCATGATTCATTAGGGACGGTGTTTATACAGAGGCTAGCAATAAGCTAAAGAAAATCTTTGAATTTGGAGTTGCTGATATTGGAGAAAAAAATTGTTCTTCATATTTGCATATCACGGCCTACCCTTGTGTGATTCAGTAAGTCAACGCTTTAACTATAAAATATAAACTGGTGATATACATTTTTAGTTTTCTCTTACTGTAATTTTCTGACTATGTGTGTATATTCTTCATATTTCAGCATATTGATGTAATTTTTTACTATTTGAGAAAGAAAGGGAAGTACGGTGTTGATGTTCCAGTAAGATTCACAACTACTAACTGTTGGTTTAACTGCTTGATTTCGAATTTGTACAAGGAGTTTTTGCAGAAAAACAGAGACATGAATTTGATTACTGAAACAGATCCAATTGCTAAGTATATATTTGGGTATTTTTTAAGATGTAATATTCCTTGGTCTACTGTTGATGAACTCCTTTTCTCTATAAATCTGTCTGATAAGTGGCACTAGATATTGGAGAGATTGTCATTCAAAGATCTGCGCATTTATGTATATGATTCCATGAGTGGCGCGCGACAGAATAGTGCAGTTCGGAGATCAGTTGAGCCATACTCAGTGTTGCTCCCATATTTCCTTCATCGTATTGGTTTTTGGGACACAAAGGAGAATCCTATGGGAATCCCCGCCAATGATCCTTTTGAGATTCATGTCATTGATGGGTTGCCAACGCAAGATAACACGTAAATTATTATTTAATATTTCTGATTCTTATTCATTTTTTGTATATTAACTCCTATTTGGATATTATCCTAACTTTTATTCAATGTTTATGTGCTACCTTGTATGTAGTGATTGTGGTGTTTATGTTGCTGCATTTGCTGAGTACATCATTCAAGGCAGCAGTATTCCTAAAGCTATTGATGGGATACGAAACCGATATGTTATATTGCTATGGGATTATGGAGTGAAGAAACAAAGAGGACATGCAGCTAGTGATGATGAGTCTACTGGTAGATTGAAGGATCAGACAAAAAAGGATAACAAGAAAAAGAGCAAGTCGCATTCCGTTGTTGATGACAAGTCTTTGAAGGATAACAAGAAAAAGGGCAAGACGCATGCCGTTTGTGATGACAAGACTTTGAAGGATATCAAGAAAAATAGCAAGTTGCATGATGTTGGTGATGACAAGACTTTGAAGGATATCAAGAAAAAGGGCAAGTTGAAGGGCAAGATCATGTAGTTTGGGATAGTTTAACAGAAAATTCACATGTAGTTTTAAGATGGAAGTAGTTTGGTTCTGATATTGTCTATGATTGGATACAGTCGCATACTTATATCATGTTTTATGCTTTTTGTTTGGATGTCTTTGAACAATATGTTTGAAATGCTAATGTTGAATATTACTTCTAATTGCGACTTGTTGTGTAGTTTTCAGTTAATAGTGAAATTATGAAAATTTCAGATTTTGTGTAGTTTTGATTTTTCTACAGTTTTAGTTTTGTAATTTATACAGTTTAATCTATTTCGACAGCTTTTGCATTTTCGACAGATTTTGCAAATTTAGCTGGTGTTGTTAAGTTACTACAGGAAGTTTTGTGAACGATGTTTTGGGGGCAGCACTGTATATAAACTGTATAGCGACAGTCTATTTTGTATAATGATATCTATCTGTTTATTTTTTGGATAGTCACAGTCTATTGTATGTAAATTGTATAAATATACAATTTCTATTTTGTATATTTAATTGGTAATCCCTCTTTTTGTATAGTTTTTGTATAGTGACATCTATTTTGTATAATTTTTGTATAGCTATAGTTTATTTTGTATTTTTTTTGTATAGGAACAAATTATTACATATAAATTGTATAGTGACAGTCTATTTTGTATATTTTTGCATAGTAACAGTCTTTTTTGTACGTCATCTATTTTGTATATTTTGGTGTATAGTGACATCCATAATAGTATTTGAAATAAAACTTCCACCAATACTTTCATTATGACAAAAAGTAGCATCTTAATTTATACATCATAGAGAATCTGATTGCAAATCTCATTATTTTTCCAATTGTAATATTCAGAAGAAAAACTGTTAGAAAATACTAAATCACTGTAGCAGCATCTACTAGTTGTCTTGAGGATTCCTGCATGTTCTTCTGTTATGTCCTTGTTTTCCACACAGTCCACATGTAACAGTTTCAGTATACAGATATTCATAAAATCTCTTGCGTCGCGACTTCGTCGGTCTTCTTGGTTTGCCCTTCACTATCGGTGGTAGGACCACATTATCTAACACCTCTGTTGGAAGGTCCCATGAAATTTCATCTGGAAGTGGATTAACTGGCACTTCATATGTCTTCTTGATGTATTCCTTGGTGTAATAGGCAAAACAATATTTGGGTGCTTCCATGTGTGTGTAGTCCAATACTGCCATAGCATGTGGACAAGGAATCTCATCCACTTGAAATCGTTTGCACGAGCATTCTCTTTTTTGCATGCAGACTATGTTCCGCCTTTGTTCGGTATCCATTACTACATATACATAATCGGTTGAAGGCCTCGCCTAAATTTAAATAGATATCATAAGTAAAACTAAAACAGGGATATGACAAGTATTAATGCATTTTTGTCTAAGTATGTTACTCCGGCGTATGAAGTAAGACATGATAAAAGAATATTTACCGTCATCTTCTGCGACAAATAGCTATTTTCCTTCAGTACTTCATGATATTTTTTTTCTTACGCCAATAAATGTACTCATTGCAGTCATTCTATTTGTATTATTCCATTCCATAACCAAATTCATCATGTAATCTAGCGAACTCATGATTGGTAGCTCTCTTGCCTCTCTGTTCCTTGCATTGAGTGACTCCGCAATATTTAAAGTCATCACCATGGATCTATTAACAGTGGAATGCACTATAGACCACTTTTCATAACCAACTTGGAATAGGTAACCCCTTACCCTCTTATCAATGTTGTCCATATCTTGCATGAGGCGATTAAAATCTTCAATTTTGTATGCTCTGGCCATTGCAAAAATACTTCCCTCAGCCGGTCATGGTTCTTCTTGAACTGCTTCTTTATGTTATTCCAAAGATGAAAGATGCATACACAGTGAGATACCTCTGGATAGACAATCGAAGCACCCCTCAATATGCTTGCATGACGATCCGATACGATGCACATCCTAGTGGAAAAATTTTACCTGGTTAAGAAAATAAGAAAGCATCCATGTGTTATTTTTGTTATACACAAATAAGAACTATCTATCCCATATATAATTATTATACGAGTCTGCAACATATTCACCTGCCGCATCTTGTGCGCTAGCTGTTAACATTGCTCCTCTGTGTGAAGATTTGAGGAATGTCCCATCAACCACTATAATAGGGTAACGGTATTTCCATCCTATGATTGATGCATTTAGTGCGACAAAAACATACATTAAGCGCCCGTCCTCTAATTTATGTAACATTGTGAAAGAACCAGGATTTGTCATATTTATCATATACAAGTGACCGGACAGTTTTCTATAAGATTCACGTGGTATCCCTCTTAGTAATTCAAGCGCCTTCTCTTTTGTTCTATAAGCTTTTACATAACTCATATTAATCCCATACTGTTGTTTCATGTCACTCATGATGTCTGCCGGAGTGTATATTGTTTTTGGATTGACATATTCGTTGCAAATCATTTTTGCAATGGAAGACGAAGTAGCATGACGTTGTGAAAACAGTCTAGTCATCTCTGGGCAAGCGTGAACATCATTGAACCGTCTAACCTTGAAGACATTTGATTTGTGTAGACTTGAAGATCTAAGACTCCATTTGCAACTTTCATCCACGCATGTAAGGCAATACCTATTTAAAATATAGTGTTATGATAATGCATTTCTTCAGATTTTTACACTTGTGTCTCAAATAAACAACCAGTGTACATATGCAATCTCACTATACATTAATTATATATTTTTTATACAGGTCTGTATGCATAAAATTACACTATACAAAAATTATAAATTTTTTATACAAATCTGTATATATAAATTTACACTATACAATAATTATATATTTTTTATACAGATCTGTATGCATAAAATTACACTATACAATATTATACATCTTTTATACAGATTTGTATGCATAAAACTACACTATACAATAATTATACATTTTTTATACAGATTTGTATGCATAAAATTACCCTATACAATAATTATACATTTTTTATACAGATCTGTATGCATAAAATTATAGAGAAGTGCAATCTCATAAGTAGAAATCATACCTTGTGTAGATGATCTATCCACTATAAATTGACATTTTTCTCGTATTGCGTAGTGCTTCATTACACTAATGAGTGTATCTTTGTCCCAATACAACTGACCTTCTGCAATTTCTTAATGTTGTGGATTGTCTATTATACAATTTTCCTTCAATATCTCAATTTTGTCTTACTTTACATGATTATCCATCATCTCAACAATATTAGTTCTGTGTACTTCTTCTACGTTCTGACATTGTAAACCAACTGAAGTTGTTGCGAGTAAGTTTCCAGCCGAAGTTGTTGCGAGTAAGTTGCCACCCAAGTATGAACTTGAATATGAGCATTCAACACTTGAATACACAGTTTTCAATGTTATGCATAATGGATATTCAGTGATATTCAGGTTTTTCTTTTTCACCTCCATATACAAGCGCACGCTCATATCATTGTATATTGGAATTACTATATAGCCATCCTTCACTGCATATTTTATCTCCATTGCACTTGTAATTGGATCTCTACCCAATTGCTTGTATATCTCATCAACAAAATAATCATAGCTACAGTCCGAATTGATCAACACGCCATTAACAAGGAAATTAACAAATTTACTCTCACTTACCCATTCACCACTGTGTTGAAGTAAAATCGGAATCAAAGTTGGAACGGTAGTTCTAACATTCACAATCTCCATAGACATTAGTTGATTTTGTCGATTTTGTATCAATTTCACAATTTAAGAACGAAATTTCAACTCTATTAAGCTGATTGTAGGCAACAATTGTGCAAAAACTTTGAATTTCAGCGTGAATTGTTGGGAGCTCTTCTCTGGGTTTAATCTTCAGAAACCCTAGAATATTTTTCACAATGTGAATAATTGGGCGACTTTTATAGTGTTTGGAGGTTAAAGATCCCATACTGAACGCGTGAATTTAGGATACAAAATCGATTACGACTGCTTTCCTTTTCGTTTGCGTTGAGCGTATAGTTTCAACTTTTTCAGTTGCTAGCCTTTGTTATAGTTTTGAGGCTATTACTTGTAAGCGGTTATTTTGAGGCTATCAGGTGATATAAGTTTGGCCCTAGTGGCTACAAATGAAGTTTGCTCGTGTTTTTTTCGGGAGAGACCAAAAAATGAAATAGAATATATTTCTTTACTGACTTCCTCATTTCATACTGTTTTTAGTTACTATGGTCGTAGTATTACATGGAGCGACATACCCGACGGTGCAGGAAGTACGAAAAATAGAAAAAGGAATTTCAGTATATAAATTTAACAATATAGGAAGTACTAATATTACCCGTGTATACGGTTGAAATCGTATGCATCCGGTTTATAGGCTCGAGGGGTCGTCTTAAGCCCGAGTCCAGGCAAGGTCGAGTTCAAGACGAGGGCTAGATCCGAGTTCGAAGACAGAATGTAATGCCCGAAGATAAGAGTGAGAGAAATACCGAAGTCAAGTATGCTCGACCCCGAAATTGTACCGTTATGGGTTTGTAATAGGCAGAGGTGAATCTAGGAGTTAAAACCTATGGGTTCAACTTTTAAATTTTTAGCATTGAACCCATTATATTTTTAGAGTTATGGGTTAATATATACTATTGTTGCAATTTTAATGAATTTTCACATATAAAATTTTACTTCGCGTCGAAAGTTATGGGTTCAATTGAACCCGCAAGGTATATGCTACATCCGCCCCTAGTAACAGGATGAGCTAGATTCCTGCCACATCCCCAAGATCATGGCACAAATCCCGGAATAGGATAGTACGATTCCGTACTAGGCGGTTAGACAGCTGTATCAAGATTATTCCTTACATTAAATAGAAATATACCTTATTTAGGGTTCCCTATTATATAAAGGGGACCCCAATCATTTGTAACATCATCTCATCATTGGCAAGAATATACTATCCTACTTTTCTCTCTTACTGTTCATCAAAATTGTCTTTTACATTTATTGTTCTTACTTTATTATTCTTAATCCATCTCAAGGTCACAAAGCTCGAGGTCACCACTGCTGAGTAACATTGGTTTGATTCACTTATTTCTTTCATTTCTAACTCATATTACTTGAATATTGATTGGTATTGAATTTAATCACATATCTTAAAAACCACAAATCAAATTTAATTGTTACTCATATTTTCGAGGTAAACAGTTTGGCGCCCACCGTGAGGCTAAAGATAATAGTGATTTTTTCTTTACCGATTCTCATTACACACGTTATTTTTACACTTTTTCTTGTCAAGAATTTTTGATTCTCAGGCTGAAACATGTCTAGCTCACAAAATGCACCTGTTCACGACAACGAAGGTCTTGGAGAAAACAACAATATAGCGGTCGGTGTACTACCAATAAACCCTGGGGAAGTGCCAAACATGGAACCGGTTGATGTAAGTTTGCACATTACTCTAAATGCGGATTTAGGCACAGACCCCGGAGGGAGTGTACGCAGGGAAATCCGACCTGGTGGCCAAGGAACACAAGGAATGGGTGATGGGGGAATCAGCCTCCAAGTGATATTCGAGATGCTGCAAGCTCAACAGATCACCTTTGCTCAACTTCGAAGTCAAAATAAGACTCCTAGTGCAGCTGAACATGAAAACACTCGACGTGCTGAGCCAGCGCCAGAGAGGTCAAATGGAAATGGCTCGGGGACTGACCCCACCATTATGAGAATGCTCGAAGAACTTACCAAGAGGATCGAGTCCGGAGAGAAGAAGATTGAAGATAATGACAAAAAGGTGGAAACTTATAACTCCCGTGTTGACCAAATACCAGGGGTACCTTCAGTTTTGAAGGGATTAGATGCAAAAAGGTTCATACAAAAACCATTCCCTCAGAGCGCGGCTCCGATGCCTATCCCTAAGAAGTTTCGCATGCCCGATATACCTAAATATAACGGGACAACCGACCCTAACGAGCATATTACTTCATACACTTGCAAGATAAAAGGAAATGACTTGAATGACGATGAGATCGTATCAGCCTTATTGAAAAAGTTCGGAGAAACATTGTCGAAATGAGCTATGATTTGGTATCAGAACTTACCTCCTATCTCTTGACTCATTTGCTATGTTAGCAGACGCCTTCGTGAAAGCGCACGCTAGGGCCATAAAAGTGGCCACGAGGAACGACGAGATGTTGAGGGAGTTTGTGTCCAGGTTCCAGATGGAACGAACGAAGTTACCACCGGTATCGAATAACTGGGCAGTACAAGCTTTTATGCAGGGTTTGAATGAAAGGAGCTCAATTGCATCTCGACAGTTAAAGTAGAACCTGATCGAGTATCCGAGTGTGATGTGGTTAGATGTGCATAACCGTTATCAATCAAAAATCAAGGTCAAGGACGACTAGTTGGGAGCCCCCTCGGGTTCAGTTCATCCTAATAGATTCGCGGCCAAGCCCCCGAGGGATACAGACATGGAATCAAGATCGAACAAGGAACGGTATCATCCGTACGTCGATCGAAGATATAACGGTTTGGGTCGAAGCACCCCCAGAAATGACCGAAGAAATGATCGAGGTCAAAGTTCCTGAGGGCTCATGAGTAAGAGCGGGTTCAATAAGCATACCGACCTCACACAGTCACCTCGACTGTCAGAGTACAACTTCAACGTATATGCATCGGGGATTGTGTTAGTTATTGAAAGAATCAAAGACACCAAGTGGCCCAGGCCTATACAAACTGATCCTTCTCAAAAGAACCCGAACTTGATGTGCAAGTATCATGGTGCACATTGTCATAGAATAGAAGATTGC